TAGAATCAAAAACGATCGCATGGTGTCTTCTTGACTCCAGCAGTGCATATCGGCTTATAACCTCTTCCTCTTAGCACTAATAGTGTTGTTTCGATGATTTCTACGTATTTGCGTTTAGTTGACAGAAAGGTAGACGGGAGCACACACTTGCTTGTACATTGTACACCGTTTATAAAGCAATTAAAACAGAAACATCCCTGGTGTCTGTGAGACGCCATGTGAGCAGTGCAGGATTAACAATCCATTGATTCCCTATTCGCGTGACAGTGGTTGAATGTCGACCAGTGCAACTGGCGATATCACAGAATGATAAACTACACTTTCGATAGGCAACGATCCTGCCTCTATGGAATTTTGAAACTTTCTGGTAAACATTTCTTCTTTTTATTCGAGGCATAACACGGTATTCTGAGCAAACTCCAATCTTACAAAGCACTTCCCGAATGAGAAATCCACTATGCAGTGCTTCAGGTATCATTTCTCCATCCTGCGTTGTATAAATGCACTGAAATACTAATCATTTGCATATCTCAACTTCTTTCTCCTGTCATGTGATTTTTGATATTTGTTAGATCATTCCTTCTTGGTGTTGCAATTTTAATGGCCAGCACTGTACATTATTATTTGAATACTTACAGCTAGCTGGCTTATTGTAAAGATAAAGTATATTGTAAATTTTGTATAATACTTTCCAAAGGATATGCAGGCTATTTCAAACAATCAAGCATTAAAACAATCAATAAACAAGCTTTTTGTAACTGAAAAAAAATCTATAAATACAATTGGAGAAAAATTCTGTGACCACCAAGAGAAAAATATCATAAGCATTCTTTATTATATGCCGATACATTAAAAAAGTATTTTCTGAGCTAAAGCTCGCCTAAAACTGATATTGCCAGTGCTCATCAAAGTAAAGAAAATCGAAAAAAAGTTTATTCAAAAATAAAAACATTGACCTTTCATGGGAGAAATGGATTTCCACCAAGAGGTCATTTAGATTCACGATAAATGAATATTAATGGATGATGTTGAATCTCATCAGAATGAAGGAAACTTTGCCAGCTATTTAGATTTCAAAATAGATGATCTTTTAAAAAATTGTTTAGAATCCTGTAGCAATAACACAGCATATATTTCAGCAAAAATATAAAATGAAATCATAAATATATCTGGAATAAAATTTTTTTCAAAAAGATTGTTGCAAAAGCATATTGAAAGCTTATGCAAAAGCATAAGAAAATGCTTTTTAATTGTAGTTGATAAAACTATGGGCATTTCTTATCAAGAGCAAGTATACATATATTTCTTAGTACTCCTTTAAGGTGTAGTTTCAATGCACGATTTGGCTAATACCATTATAGATAATTTTATATCGGTAAGCTTAGATATGAAATACATGACAGGTCAAAAGGCTATGCTGGTGCCATAGTTATGTCCTTTCACAGTCATTCTCTCAATCTGGCTATTTCGGATGAATGTCACATTAAAGATTTTCATATTTGCATAAGAGTGATAGAAGAATTGTATTCTTTTATGAATACTCCAAAAAAAATTCTGTTTTGGGGAGGGGGGAAGATTTTGTGTCCATCTTTACAAAGAGAATATCTGAAAATGTTTTTGTCATACTTGTTAGATAGATGCAAATCCGTTATAATTCTGGGTAATGAATGTTGTTTACTCAGGTGTGTGTTTATGGTGGAATTATTAAAATCTTTTGTTCATGTGCTAGAAATAATAGAGAATTGGTATTATAAGGAATCATCTTTTGTGCTCACTGAATAATTCCACCTTCAGGTTACTGATTTTTTTTTGTTATTACTTTATTCTGAATTCCAAAGTTATTTCATATACATTGCCATTAAGTAAAGATTTGACACTCGAAATTATAAATCAAATGGGAGCATTTCATTTGTATGACAATAATTTAAGAAAACTACAAGAAATTAATGACTGACAGTTCTGAAAAATTTTTCAGTGCAATTTATTTAGAGTCTACTTCAGTTTTAAAGCAAATAAATGAAAAAGATCATTAGAGTTAAAAAAGCAGCCATCAGCATTAATTTTTAGAAACAGCATCTGATTGCTGTTGTTTGAACTCTAATTGTTATTTAGAATGTTACTTTAGATGAAAAAGAATTTGAAATTTCTTTTCTATGATTTGCAAGCAAGTAAACATGTTATTTTAATATTATAACTGAAGGTTTAAATCAGCGTCAATTCACTGCTTTCTTAAGTGAGTTAGATAGTGAATATTCGGGTTTGTCCTACTATACCGAGGTACATTGGTTATCTTGCTCCAAGATTCTCAAACAATTCTGGGATTTGAAAGAAGAAATATGTCAGTTTTTAAAAACAAAAAATCAAGACGTAAGTTTGTTTTACGATCCAATATGGATACAAGATTTATCTTTCTTGGTTGATATAACCAAACCAAACACTTAACCGATTTAAATTTATCGTTACAAGGAAAAGATCATATCATTACGAACATGTTTGACATAATTAAAGCATTCAAATGTCAACTAGTTCTTTGGGAAAAACAACTTAAAAATGAAGATTTGACGCACTTCCCGACGTGCAGCATGAACAAATCAAGTTTAGATGATACTTGTTCGTATCAAAAATACGCAGAAAAAATTGCAAATTTAACAACTGAATTTGAAACGAGGTTTAATGATTTTAGTTCCCTCGAAGACAATTTTTTTTTGTTTTCTTCGATTTTCTCAATAAGTATTGACTCAGTACCCAGCCATATGCAAATGGAGGTGATCGAGATTCAATGCAACTCAAATTTGAAAGCAAAATTCATTGAAGTGGGCGTGCCTGAATTTTACAAATATTTACCAGCCAGGTTTGAAAATACTCGAAAATTCGCATATGAAATTATTTCCATGTTTGGTAGCACTTATCGGTGCGAGCAGTTATTTTCAGTCATGAAAGGTAATAAGTCTCCTATTAGAAACCGTATTAATGATGCTCACCTTGGGTCAGCGTTGAAAGTTATCACTGCAAACAAAATTTCTCCCGAAATAGGAAAGATAATAGCAGAGAAGAGATGTCAAGTATCAGGACGTAAACATTAAATTTTTCTTGTTCTTTTCTATATAATATATATATATATATGTTTATTATTGTATTATTCGAAATAAATCTACGTTTCTATGAATATTGATTTTTTTTTGCGGCCCGCCTAAAGTTAAACCTTGTTTGTTTGGCCCAAGTGTACCTATGAGTTTGACATCCCTGCTGTAGATTCTACCTTCAATATAGCAAGCTCATTTATGCGATATCCTTTTATATGCAAGTTCTTGATTTTCCCTTTATAAAACACCAGCAATCAGGATCCTCTTACGCGTGAGGACATCTTACGTTCATAGGAGCACAGTGGTATCTTTCAGTGTTTTGATTTAGCTTATAAGGATTGCTTTATATGGTTGAAGGTTAGCTTGATAAACTAATAATAATATCAAGCTTTCTTAGATGTGGTGTATAACTATATGCCACTATGTTCCAAGTTTACTTAGCAAATTTTTGAAACTTGAATAATATTGTATGGAAATTTTGTTTAGAAGTTATGCAGCTGTATAATATTAAAATATATGGACTTGCTGATCTGTTAATTAATTAAAATTAATTAATGCATATTTTTATATAAAATGTTTTTTTTGGGGGGGTTGCTAAATGATGTTATTTTATCATTTAAAAGGTTTCACTGTTTAAGCTATGCAAGACTGTATGCCAGTGTATGATAAAGCTGAAATCTTTCCTTATCAGCTTCTCTAAACAGATAAAGCTTTGGTTTCGTTATTTCAGGAAATGGAATTTTTTGCTTTTCATTTTGTAGTGGCTTGGTAGATATGCTTATCTTTACATATGTTTGTTTCAATATAAGAAAACATTTATTTGATATCATTGCATTTCTTTTAAAGTCTAAAACATAAGTTGGGAAAGGTAATAATGCAACACCATGCTAAACTTTTAGTATTTAAAGTAAATAATTATATTTTCAAAAAATGTTTGCCTGCTCTTGATGTGTTGAAAATTTTTTATTCTTAAAACCTTTAGAAATTGTTTAACTCTGAAAACTCATAGGATAGGGTTGGTACTCCATTTATTATTACCTATTTTCAAATTTTGAGCAGTTTTTAGAAATTATGGTTAAGAAAGTTCTTTCATTTGGATTGATAATTTATGATAAGTAAATTTTAATGGATTGTATAACGTATGTTAAATATTTAATGAGAGTAGTGAAAGCTATTATTAGAGCAGTAAAAGCTGTAAATTAAATTTAAGGCAAAAAGTGTTTTTAGAGGAAACTTAAAGTGTACATACCCTGCTTCTTTAAAGAGCGGTATCTGTTTCCTGTTTAAATTAATATAAAAATTAATACTACATTATAACACTCAAGAGATTGTGAAATGAAACAGTCATGTAATTTATATATATTTAATTCCAAATAAAACAATAACTTACATATATTATATAATTATATGCAAGTTTTAAAATATTTAAGCTTATAAAGTTTTTATGACACATATTGAAATCTGTATGTAGAAAAAAAAAATTACATGTGAATAGTAGTAGTGTTGGCTCAACACGACTAACTGTATTGAAGTGAGATGGACGATGGAAGGTAAGGAGATCATGCTTTCGACTAAGATGTAATGTTTTATCAACAAAGATATAACCTCTTAATCATTACTCGTTTTTTTTCTATTTGTAAATAGCCACTAATGTATCTCCACCAGTAGCTAAATAAAATACTTTAGTCACCTAGATATTTATTGTCAGCTTAGAAATCCCCTAGACACCGAGATCTATGTTTTACATACATAGATTTAAAAGCAGCAAAATTGTGACAGCCTTCATGTTTATGGATCTGCTTTAAAAATTAAGGACTTCTGTTTATAACTGACCTGCTTCTGTACTTAAATTTTAATTCCATATATTCTTTTCATTTTGACCGTGTGCATTAATTTTATACTTTGTGCTGTTTTTAGGATAATATTCTGAAGAGAAAACATAATGAAAGTGATAAAGATTTAGCAGGACCATCAACAAAAAAGCCACCACCCCTTTTTCAAATCAATAAGGAAAAAAGTGTTGATAAAGATATTTTAAAAACTCCAGGCTCTGTTGCTAAGAAAACATCGGTCATTCATGTGGATAAAGAAAAAGTTGGACATAAAGATATTTTTGGAAAGGAAAGCCCTAGCAACAGAAAAACAGCTACTGTAAATAGCGGACTAAATTCCAGTGGTATCCAACCAGGTAGTATGTATACTTGTTATGATTAAAAAAAAAGTTATGTTTTCAGTTTTGTTGAAAATTTTAAAAATGAATATAATTTAAGAATGAGATAGATATATTGTAAATGCTAGTAGTTTAGCAACAGAAAACAGTTACATTTTTTGAAAGAAATTAATTGTTACTATAGCATATAGTATTTTTGTAAAGTGAGAATCTAGTCATTTAAAGTGAATTTTGATTTTTATTAAGCTTTTCTATAATTGTAATCTGATTTTTGAGTATAAAAGTACGTAGCGTATTCGGAAACTAAGTACCGTTTCATTCTAGTGCCGTCGCAGCACTGTGGTAGGCGTCCCGCGCGTGCGCACTAGTCTTTCTTGTTCACTGACTTTCAATTGTCGCCATTTTGGTTGCACTATGTTGTGTTGTCAGTTTGCTGTGCACATTCAAAATGTTTAAGACAATTAGTTCTCCCGCTGACTGTGAGATTCGTGCCGTGATTAAATTTTTGAACGCGAGGAATGTTAAACCGGCCGAAATTGATCGTCAAGTGACAGAAGTTTACGGTGAGTACGCGATAAGTGATGGAATGGTGAGAAAGTGGGTAAGAATGTTTAATGCAGGTCGAACAAATGTCCACGCCGAGGCTCGGAGTGGTCGGCCTTCTTTTGTCACCGATGATTTGGTAAGGAAAGTTGATGAAGCAATTCATGAGAAAAGACGCTTCACAAGGCATTTTCGCAAATTTCACGTACTGTTTTGTTTGAAATTGTGTCTGACCGCTTGAATTATCGCAAACTGTGTTCCCGATGGGTTCCAAAAATGCTCACTGATGTTCAGAAAACAAACGACTTGGTAGTGCCCTGACATTTCTCACGCGGTACAGTGATGAGGGAGAAAACTTTTTAAACCAAATTGTGACAGGTGATGAAACTTGGGTGTGTCATTTCACACCAGAATCGAAACAACAATCGATGGAGTGGAGACACACTCATTCTCTGAAAAAAACAAAAGTTCAAAGTGACAATGTCATCACAAAAAATCATGTGCACTGTCTTCTGGGATAGGAAAGGCGTTTTGCTTACTGAATTTCTTCCCAGAGGTGAAACCATTCATGCGGCACGATATTGTGAGACTTTAACAAAACTAAGGCGTGCCATTCAAAACAAACGAAGAGGAATGCTCAGTAAAGGAATTGTGTTGCTCCATGACAATGCTCGGTCCCATACTGCTGGTGTCACTCAATCGTTAATTCGACAGTTTCATTGGGAGCAGTTCGATCACCCGCCGTACAGCCCGGACTTGGCGCCGTCCGACTATCACTTGTTCCTGCACATGAAGCGCGAGCTTGGTCTCAAGCGCTTTTTATCTGACGATGACACGAAAAATGCTGTGGAGTCGTGGTTATCGAAACTGGCGGGAAGTTTCTTTGACGATGGTATACAAAAACTGGTCACCCGCTATGACAAGTGTTTTATCATTGGCGGCAACTATGTTGAAAAATAGTTTAAAACATGTATTTTCATGTAAAAATAAAAATTGGATTCGAAAAAATTGTTTTACTATTTTTCTTTTTTCAAAACGGTACTTAATTTCCGAATACGCCTCGTATATTCAAGTCAAATAATAGATACACATATGACAATATAAATACCTTTAGTGAAGGTATTACAATATAATACCTTCCTAAAATTATTAGAGCTTTATATTACCATGTATTTGTCATCCATGTGATTTGGAAAGTACTGATGTTGTCAAAAACATAATATCCTTAATTTATTTTTCCTTCAAGGACACATTTTCTCTAGTATAATAAAAAACAGCACCCTCATATTAAGCATTAATAACCAGTGCAGATGAGGATCTTTGGTGTTATATGCATATGTAAAATGCTTATTAATATTTAAGTACAGTATTTGTTTTTATGTATAATAGTAATATTGTAATACTCAGTTTGATAGTAGACTGGTACCAGTATTACTAAAATGCATTACTGGATTACAAATGTGTTAGGCCTACCAATGGCTCAAATTCTGATCACTGGTACTTTGTACTAGTTTCAGTTCCCAGAAACTAGGTTGATTATGAATTTTTTTATGCATAAAGTGAATATTTATTTAGGCACAAAACTTTCCTCACAGTTTCTCTTCCTTAGACAAATAGCCTTTGCATGTTTATACACAGTTACGAGGCTTGTTTCCACAGTTTTAGGAATTTAGGCATATTTTTTTTCCATCACTTTTCATCAGTATTACAGTACAGTTTTGCAACATAATCCCCATTTAATTGAGTACTTTTATCCCAATAAAAAAACTCATTTTTAAAAGCATTTCTCAAAGATCTTTTTCAGTGTGTCCTCAATGTGCGTTTTTATCGGATGTGTTTAGTTCTCAAATAAATTGAATACCCTGTAAAGGTTTTTCCAAATGGGAAAACAGAATATTTCTTGTAGATGATCTGAAGTTTTCACATACTCTTTTCATAAAAAGAAAATGATTTCTCTTTGCATCTTCCATGGTTGCAAAAACAATATTGTATCAGTCAGCCAACTGAATTGGGCTAAGCAATATTCCATGGGATGGCAGCCAAAACATAGTATTGATTATAAGTTCTGGGAATTGAACTAGAGCTCAGCTCAATTCCTAGAATTTAAAAACATCCTATATGTACACAAACACATTGGAAATAATAAGTGCATATTTTATGATTTACATTCTAAACAAAGATAAAATTTTGCATCATTTTATATATTCAGTAAAAATTTATTCATGCAAAATTTTGTAACATAATGTTTAAAATTATTTGAACAGTGTGCCTGTAATTGGTTTATTCTTATTGTTTCTATCTAAAAAGATTATTTTTTTGGTGCTCACTTAAAATTCAGATTTACCAGTATTTTAGATTCAGATTTTCTAGTCTTTCTTTTTCTGTCTGTGTTACGTTTGACATTTCATGTTAGTTTCTCGTAATTTATATTACACTGAACTGTCTAAAATTATTACTTTTTTAAGTTTTATATGTATAAGTCTTCTATTATTAGAATATATCCAAAATATCGGGCCATTCTGATATAAAAAAATAATGAACTAATTCCTCTGAATTAACCTTTTGACTGTTGTGAGAAAAAGCAATTCTTTATTTCCAAAGATGTGTGATAGCTGTTTGTTATAAATAGGAATCTTTCAACTTGACGACAGGTGATGCTAGTAATTAAACATGCGTTTATGCTAGGGGTGGCCAAAGTGCGGCTCGCGAGCCTCATACGGAAATTTGTGCGGCTCGTGCATATAAAATGTATGTATGAAATATGGTAAACTAAAACTCTCAGTGTCCGAAAAGAAGTAATTAATTAGTTTAGACTTTTTCTACAAAGTTTTTCAGAGATTTATTTCTATTTAAAACCTCCTCCACTACTTCTGTAATGATGTAGATATGAACTTATGGCTTTTAAAAAATCTAGATGCGGCTCTCAAACATTCCTGAATTCAAACGTGCGGCTCTTACTGACATGATGTTTGGCCAACCCTGGTATATGAATTGCATGTAGGTAATTGTTAATAGTTAAATTTGTGACTTGAATGTAACAGTAGAAATTTTTGGCTTTGTAATCATATTTAAAAACACGCACACTATGACTAGTGTTGTTAGTGGAAAATTAAAGGTGGTATAATTTCTTTTTAAAAATATTTATTATATATACAATCAATAATCTATTTTATTTCTAAGCTGTATTAATTTTTTGCTTTAAAATGTGTTATTTGTTTTCCTATTTATTTATTTATTTTTGGTTTTTGCAGTTCAGAAAATGGATAAAAAAAAGCCTTTTAACCAAATTATGAACAAAGTAGTTTTTGTTTTGAGTGGATTTGTCAATCCTTTAAGGAGCGAGCTGAGAGATAAAGCTTTGGAAATGGGAGCTAAATATAGAGGAGATTGGAACAGTTCATGCACACATCTTGTGTAAGAATTTATTTTGATTTGTATTTAAAACTCAGAATGTACTAACTTGAAAATTTATTAATTTTTGTATTTAAAAAAAGTTACTAATTATACAAGGTTCTGGTCAATGTCAAGGAAGTTGAAAAGTATTAGAGTAGTTATTTCCTGAAGCTTTACGACTTTCTGTTTTTACACTACTAACATGGTGGTAAAAATTCCTCGCACAATTTTATCTTCATGCATGTTAATTAAAACCATTAGCGAGTTTGAAACTCAAGGGGAACAAAGAAGCAAATTCTAAACTACTCAATGCAAGATTCCAGTGAAAATATTAATTATTGTTGAAATGAGATACAAATGATTAAAGGCAAATACTTAGATAAAAATTTATCTAATTTATGTACAATTTTGTGATGTATAATTAACTGCTATGAAGTAGTTCATACCTTTGGTTTGGTCTGTAAATAATATATTGCAGGAGTGGCTAAACTTCATGTCTAAGAGCTGCATTTTGGAATTCAGTAAACTTCAAGAGTCATAGCTAAATGTCATGAGACCATATTTTACACCATTTTAAAAGTCATAAAACAGGTTACATAGTTAAACAAATGTCTTGTAACCTTGTATAAAGAGAGAAAAAAAAAAAAAAAAAAAAAAAAAAAAAAAAAAAAAAGAAATTAAATACTTTCTTTTGGATATTGAGTAATTTTAGCTCACTTACTCTATTTCAGTTATATATTTTATGCATAAGAGCACACCACTTGCCTTCAAGAACTGCGGCATGGCCACACCTGTTACATTGTTTCAGTTTATTGGTGAACTCCTGTATTCTTGCTCACATTTTGTATATCAGATTTTTGCATCTTTCAATCATATATAAATGTGTTAAATGGAGCTGTCCTCATATGCATCCAGTGGGGAAAGGAAATGAAAGCGGTTACCCATTTGTTAATTCAAATTGTTTTTCTAGGAAAGTTCAATGCCTATTCTTTAAATTAAAAAGATTAAAGTACCTTTTTATATATATTGATGACTAATTAAAACCTAATTCAGATTAAAGCCTTTGAAATTCAGGAATTCAAGGGCCATTTTTAAAATTTAGGAAAGTTCAAGAGCCACATTTTGACTTTCCATAAGCAGCAAGTCCATATTTATATCATTATTAAAGTAGAGAAAATGCATTTCTTGCATATAAACACATTAAAATCGAATTTGTTTATGTAGCTTGGATTGGCTAGTACATGGCATTTCAGACTAAGAATTGTGACTCCTCCTGTGAGTTTTATATTTCAGAACTGTAATTAGACATGAGAATATTCATGTTTTAATCTGAATTTTGGAATGTTATGTGCTCCTTAATTTATTTAAATGTTGTTAAAAGTTTCAAAAAAATTCACTTTTTTAAATCAATTTAGTTTTTCTTGCATATCACTACTTTATTTTTTAATAAATCGCATAAAATCTACAGAATGTAAATTCTCATAAGTTTTGACTCGTATACTTAATGTTGTAATAGTAATCATGAAAAGTTATGTCTAATTAAAAGGGATTATATAGCGCAATGTCCGAGATCAGACCTATCTGGACTTCGGCAATTCCAGATTAAGAATATTTTTGGGTATTAGACTGTCAATTTAAATCTAGTAAGATGACATATAGAGATTATAAAATTAATAACATGAAATAATGAGGCATTTATGACCTTAAGGGAATCAAAATTTAGAAAACAAAAGCCCAATATTTATTTGTTTGTTTTATTAGAAATTTTTTTCAATATCAGTTGTTTAAGTTATTTTGTTTTTTGTGCTAATACTTTCTCCTTAGTTCTATTGATAGACTTAATTTCTTTTGTTCAGTTACAAAGTTCCATTTTTAAAATTTTGTAATTGCTGTTACGAAAATTCCCACTAAATTATCATTCGAAATTTTTTCATTCTCAGCAGTCTCTCTGTTATTATCTTCACTATCAATGATAATACAGTACAAAGTCTGTAATCAGGACTCGTCGGGATTTCGGCGATTCCAGATTAGGGATTTTTTCGGATTATAGATCGGCAATTTAATTCTGGTAAGATGGCATGTAGAAATTATGCAATTAAAAATACGAAACTGTAATTTATGAAAAAGAGCAATTATGATCTAAAGAGTATCAATATTTACAAAAAAAAAAAAAAAAAGCTTAATATTTATTTGTTTACTTTAGTAAACAGTTCTATCAATGTAAGTTGTTTAAGTTGCTTCGTTTTTTGTGCTAATACTTTCTCTTTAATTCTATAAACAGACATAATTTCTTGTTCAGTTACAAAGTTCCACTGTTCAAGTCCTGTAATTGTTGTGTCGAGAATACCGACTAACTTGTCAATCAAAATTTTTTCGTTTTCGATAATGTTCTGTGTTACTTTCTTCACTATTGGAAGCACGCATGGGTAAACACTTTACTGGCTTTATGCGCATCAAACGCGCATGCGTAAACACATTGTGCGCATGGGTAAGTTTGTGGCTTTGAGGTCTGGATTATAGATCATTCCGGATAATGAATGTCCGGATTAAAGACTTTGTACTGTATTTTTTGGCTTTAGAACCATGCTATAGATTTTGCTGTCCATTAGCTGACTGATGTTAGGGCATTTTCATCGCAAAGAAAAAATTTCTTTATGGCATCTTTATTTATTACCACTTCTCCACCACATTTCTTTGCAAATTTTGTTAATTGAAAAACTCCTTATTTTGCAATATTTGAATACTTTCAAATTTGTGGCCATCATTGTTAACATCGGCTGTCATCTTCTATAGACTGTTGGCAAAGTATGATGAGATTCTTGACTAAAAACATATTGTTTTGCTTCTGTCATATGCTGAGGAAGTTAAGCCTGAATTGTATTAGTTCTTATACATATGCCTATCTCTCGTACATACTTAAGGCTTATCCGAGTCTTGAATAAATATATTCCCAAATATACCTAAGGCATATTCAGGGCTGGTGTTAGACATTTTGTGGCCCAGTACAGTATCTACTTGTTCTAAATTCTAAAAATTTTGCTTCCCATTGCCTTTCCTCTTGATTTAGTTGCTCAGTGCTTCTCTAAATTCTAAAAATTTTACCTTTCATAAATTCTGCCCCCTCTGCCCCCAGTGCAGCTACATCAGCTCTAAGAGCTGCTTATCTGAATAACAAATCAATTATTCTCAGTTCAAACAGCACTAAATGTAATCTTTTGGCCCATGAGTATCATTTTTAAAATCTATGTTTTTGCATACAGTAAGAAATTTCTGTTCAGTTTCTTATGATCAACACAGTCAAAGCTTTGCAGCACAGCTAGCTGAAGTTCTGTAATTATCCCTCAGTGTAATGTCAACGTGAAACGTTACCATGCTGTTTGGTATTTAGTTACTAACTACTAAAAAAAGATTATTTAGACATCATTGCAGGAGTCATTTCTCAAGCTGCCATGTGTTTATTATGAAAACAAAAGATAATAAAGATTTGCCAGATTAGTATCAGGGATATAAATTATGCATTAGGTGTAAAGTGAATGATGTACCAATCTATAATGTTTTGGTTTGAGATGTATGCCAAACAGAAAGGCATTCACAGAGCCAAATTATTGATCACACATGTTTATGCTGTATATGGTTTCTTCAATGGAGGTATTTTATGAAGTCCTGGAGTGAAATTAAGAATTGGTACTCTCTATGTATTTTATTATGGAAAAACACAAAATTTTTTTAGTGTTCAGCATACAAATATATATATATATATATAAATAAATAAATAAAAACTGCTGTTATTCTGGATTATATATCATTCCAAATATTGTAATTTTGGACTTTGTACTTTATTTGTGAAAAAAAAATATTAAACCCTGAATTAAAATTAAAAAGGAGAAGAAAGCAAATTTTTGTAGAAACAGTGTATGCAAGAATGATAGCTGTCAACAAAATCCTGGTTTGATCATCATCATGACAATGTGGGAAAGTACATGATAGCAAAATTTAATGGCAGAAAATCTTACACATTATCTTAATATTACTAAAGATTAAAAAAAAATAATTTATTTACTTAATATTTGAATATTTGAGGTTGTATGTCTCATAGATCTTCTGTTGTAAATTATATTTTATTGTTATTAATTCTTAGATGTGAGCTCTTTCCTAATATTATTATTTTAAAGCAAAAGTAAGTATTTCCTGCTGTGCATTTGCAAAAGACTTGTATTAATACTTCTTTCAGTTTACGAAAGTCATCAAAGAGTTTTTTTTTTTTTTGCTTTTACAAAACAAAAAAACAAAACAAAAACAAAACAAACAAAACAAAAAAAAAAAAAAAATTCATATTTGTTTTATTCAGTGCATAAAGAAATAGATGGTTTTAGTCATAAGAAAGCAGGGACATATAAGTCAGTTTCAAAAAGAAGTTCTATTATCTAGGAAAATTGAAACAGTCTAAGCAATCATGTATAATCTCTTATTGTAGGCTTTTTATGGATGCAAAGCAGATGATAGAGATTTATTTTTGACACTGGAGTAGGAATGCGGGTACAAGTAGAAATGAGCTGAGTATCAGGCCACAGCACGCAATGAATTGGAAGTTGATCTGTCAGCACTATCCTTATCTTCAGGGCAGATGTTTTTATTTTATTTGGCTTATAATTCCTTACTAAATGTAGTATTTCATCTCGATGTACTCCGTCTTTGATATGATTTAAATCAAATTCCTCGTCATTATAATTTGCTTCCGATAGTGAAGAAAGTGACACAGAGGTTATTGAAAACGAAAAAATTTCGATTGACAAATTAGTCGGTATTCTCGACACAAGCAAATTATAGGACTTGAACAGCGGAAACTTTGTAACTGAACAAGAAATTATGTCTGTTTATAGAATTAAAGAAAAGTCTTATCACAAAAACGAAGCAACTTAACAACTTACATTGAAAGAAATGTTTAATAAAAGTGAACAAATAAATATTAAGCTTTTTTTTTTTTGTAAATTTTGATACCCTTTAGATCATAATTGTTCTTTATTTCATAAATTACAGTTTCATATTTTTAATTTTATAATTTCTGCATGCCATCTTACCAGATTTAAACTGATGATCTATAATCCGGAATTGCCGAAGTCCCGACAAGTCCGGATTAACGACTTTTGACTGTACTTACCGGGCAGCTGAGCAAGAATATATAAAAACGTGATGTAGTGACATCATAAATATAAATAACTCTCTTCTTTGTCCTGCAGTTGCTTCTAACTAATCCGTGGCAATTCAGCGTATGATCATCATAGACACTTCCTGAAATCTTCCATTGTACTCATTGTCTTCCCACTTTTAGAAAGTGAAAATTCACTATGTGTATTACTTCAGTTTATTTTAAGGTTTTTATTGCCTGAAGGGACAAGACATTGAGCATTTGTAGTGCACCCAAAATTTGTTTCCTATCAAACGGGCAAGCTGCATAAAGTTTTCCATGTTTGTCTGTAAAGCATATGGGCCTACCAGCGGCTGAGTGGTAAAAGTCATTGAGCACTGAGAGTTCAACCTGGGTTGAATTCCAAGTGAATAGGTTTGCTGCATGTGTGTTTCTGTGATTTCCCCATGTGTATATATATAGGATATTTTATGCGAAACGTTGCTCTGTCATCAAAGCTTTACTTTTTCTCTTAAACTTGGAGGCTTGCAGATTACTTTATTGAACTATAGTAAATTTAATTCTCACAAAATGAACTGTTTGAATGGGTTTTTACTTTCCGCTATGCATTTTTTGTGGTTTTCTCTTCAACATGGTATTTTAGCCTAAATCCCATAAAAAGTCTTCTGTGCACTTTAATTTATTAAATAATCCAGTCCAAAGTCTGCTACAGTGGAAACCAGTGGGCAGTCTTTACATATTTAATCTAAACATATAATTTCTTTGTCAATTTTTAAAAATCTTTGTTAAAATACTAATTTAATCTTGACAATAAATAATAAAGTATATATTATAACTTTTCTAGATGTGCATTCCTAAATACACCTAAATATGTCCAAGTCCAGAGTGCAGGTGGAAAAATTGTAACCAAGAACTGGATATTAGATTGCTACAAGAAAAAAACTCTCTTACCCTGGAAAAAGTGAGTACAGCCATCAATCAACTAAACTGCAACATTTCTACAAATTGCTTTTTGAATTGTTTAAAAATGTCTTATAGGTGAAAGGAGTTCTTATTTTTCCTTTGACTTTTTTGGTTTTTCTAATGAAATTACGACTTGCCAGGAACTGACTGTAGATGAAGAATGCAAACAGAGATGATTATAACCAATGATTTTATTGACATGTAATTTTTATTTTCCCGCTAAAGCAAATTTTTGTGTGGTAGTAGCTTTTAGGGAATTTGAGAATATCATTTGCTAGAATCATCCCAAATTTGTAAAACCATCCCAGATTTGTGTATTTGCCATCTCCCAAATAGAACTTTCTTTTTTATTTAAATTAATTTAACACGTTTAATATACTTCATTACAGTCAAATTATTAAAGCCAGTTTGCCATACTTTACCAGTTACAATAATGAAATATTTCCCCTTCCATTATTAATTGTTTTTCCAGTCTTCGGGACATTGAAAATATTTACTTCATTTTACTGTTAAAAATGCTTTATATTTAACATATTATATACATAGGTGCTATTTATTGTTTCAAGGTTTTACAGATTTAAAAATTATTGTCAACATTTTTTTATTGTTTTTTCCCTTCTGCTCTGTTTTTTCAGAATATCAACATGATAGTTCGATTTAATAAACTGTTTATTATAAATTTACAAGAAATCACTTTTAAATGCTTTTGTATCATTACAATAATTGTGAAATTTTGTTCTCTCATCTTTTTTTTTTTCCCCCCCCACTAATTTTAGTAAAGAAAGATTAGTGCATTTTGAGTGATAAATGAGTGCTGCCTACTTTAATGCACTCACAATGTACTTACAAAACTTTAATAAGCAAGTTCTTTTGGCTAATATATATTTTAATTGTTCAATATGTATTATTTGTTTTCTTTTACAGGTATAAACTTGGAGGTGATGAGGAAGAAAGCTCTGATGTTACATCAGAAAGTGAAGAAGAACCAGCGGTTATTGTTAGGAAGACCGCTAAACCTGAAATTTCAAAACAAAATGGTAATTTTTTTTAGTTGTAGAATAATTTGGCAGTTATGAAATTATGAGCCTTTTTTTTTAATAAAAAATGAAAATTTTAAGTGCTCTGATTATGCAATTTTTATGTTGATTCTAGTCTAAGTGTACCTGCATGCTTTTGATTAAAAATGTGTTTTATTAAACATCTCCCAAATATGCATTTTAAATTCAATTTTGAGAAATACGCATCTTTAAACTAATAAATGTTGGTTATACATTTATAAACATGTATAAATTTAATACTATTAAATTAAGAACTATTTTGCAAGTGTAATAATTTTTGTAGTATTTAATCTATTCCACAAATGTAATAGTTTTTGTGATTATTCTTAAAAATTTTATATCTAATCCCTTGTAGTTAGATCATTTATAATTAATTGTTTATTCATGTATAAATTATATGATCATTATCTCTACATGTAATAAAGAGTCTGCTTGTGTGTATGTCTTTCTTTTGTGCTGCGCGTAAGCTATTATACCCAGGGCTATGAAATTTGGTATATAGGTGCATCTAGACAAGCGCCAGTGCACCTTGAAGTGATTTTTTTCAAAATTCGAATAAGATTTTTTTATTTTATCTTTTTTGATGAAATTGCACCATTTTGAATAGTTTCATTTTTTTAGAAATGTGGTTTTGGCGACAGTTTTTCATTTAATGCTTTGTATGCGATACTGCTGACTGTTGAAAATATCAGATAAAATACTGCTTATTTTCTTTGGATTTTTGGACATGCAACATACACATCGCAATCTTCTTATTCTGATGTGCATGTGTCTCGCAAGACATAACAGAAAGAAGTTCATTTTTTTCCTTTTCTCTTTATTAGCTAATGGCAAAGAGGTTTGCATATTTTGAATTATGTCATCCACAAAGCACAATTTTAATTGGTTATTGCTTTCTGATGATAGTTTCATTCTTTTAGAAATGTGGCTTTAGCAACAGTTTTTCATTCATTACTTTGGATTTTGGACTGCTGACTGTTTTCTCTTGAAAATATGTGATTAAAATATTACTCATTATACTTTCCTTTTCACAATTTTTATTTTTTTGTATTTCTTTCGTTTTATTTATTGCTTATAAGATATTGAAAAGTTTTGCATGATTTTTTTTCTAGGAAACAAAGTTCTTAACTTCCTTTATACCATTTGAATTCTTCAGATTTTGCAATGGGTAGTTGGTTAATTTATTTATTGGATATAGCTTATTTCATTGTAATTTTTTGTGTTATGTTTTAATTGTATATGATTTTAATTATACGAGAAGTTTTGCATGATTTTTTTTTAGGAAACAAATTTCTACCATTTGAATTTCTACCAAATTATACCATTTAAATTCTTAAGATTCATTAGATTTTGCAATGGGAAGTTGGTTAATTTATTTATTAGGATAATTAATATTTGTATTAAGGGATATTGCTTATTTCATTGTAATTTTGTTATATGTAATAATGTTTTTTTTAAAATTTTTTTTTTTTTTTTTTAAATGAAGTTGCTCTGCAGAGTAAAACTGTGCAGTTTTTAAATGTAATGCTTGGTGTTCCCCTTAGGCATTTTTTTGGTACATTTAAAAGCCAGACAAAGGCTGGCCACATAGTGTCTAGTTATAAATAAAATGGTCATAATTATGTGGTATAAATTATACAAGCCTTCATTTGGGTATGTTCTTTCATATTGAGAGTTGCAGTTTTAATCCTTTGCTCTTTGACTTTTGGCTTGCTTCTAAGCACAGATAAAGTTAGCATTGTATGCAAAGTGTACCTTTTGAGCACACCAGCAATATTTTAGAGTAAATAATCCAGGTATTGTGATTTTTAGTTAAATTTCATGTTAATAATTTCACGACTGACTGTTGAGGATTTAAGCATTTTGTTGTAAGGAATTAAGACACTTATCTTGTACGTACATGGGGGTTTAGTACTTTTTACATCTAATCAGCAATTGGAAGATTTGTGATTTAATTCTTGGGGAAGCATAGTTACTTTTTTATTCTTCCTGTCTCACAAATGTAATAGTTTCTGCACTCTGATCATAAAATATAAGATAACACATTCACCACAATGAGAATTACAGTAGAGGACAAATTGTTTTATGATAATGTTTTTGATGAATATGAAAAATGTGTGCAAAGTAATTCTTTTGAATAATAAATTGTGACTCTGATAATAATTCCTTGTCCCTTCCTCAGAAGAAAAATTAAAAAGTATCTGCATTGCAATGAATCCTGTGACAGCCAGAAAACATTAAAAGATTAGTAAATATAGGGAGCACATTGCAAGGAAAAATTAAAGGAACAACTATGAAAAGGGGCTTTATGTTGATTCTGTCAAGTCCAGTGAAAGGAAGTCAAGATCAGTATTATTATGCAGTTTAATGGGATTCACCTTTGTTTTGAAGAAATATGCAACTTCTTTTGGCAAGTTTGAAAGGAGGAGTTGTTTCAAATTATGTGTTCAAGATTTGTACAAGTAATTTGATAAAATTTTCACAGGGTGGAGCATGTCAAAAGGCATTTGATGAATTGTGAGAAATGGCATGCTATTGAGAGAATAGAAACAGGGCAGCCATGTAAAGACCTAAAAGTAGCCAAAACTCTCATGTCAAGAATCTAGAAACAGTTTGAAGGCACTGGTGATGTATGCAGATAACCAGATCATGGTTGAAAACTGGCCACAACAAATTCTCGGAATTGTTATTTGGCAATGATTGCTAAAAGAAACAAACGTCTGTCACCAGCCCATCTGGATAGCCACTTGGCTATCCAGATATACTGCAAGTGATAGGCTGCATAAAGGAGGGTTGTGTGCAAGTTGACCCAAGATTTGTGTCTCACTAATTCGGGCTGCTAAATTTGTGTGGTTGTAGTGGTGCGGAGATCATCATGAGTACGGCAGACTGGAGCTGAGTTCTCTTTACTGGCAAGTCTTGTTTTTATTTGGAAAGTGATTCCAGACATGTTTCAATCTATTGAGGAACTACTGCATATGCAATAAGTCTGAAAATATTTATGAAAGGTGGCATCAGTACAAAAGTGGTGGAATCATAGTGTGGGTGGACATCATTTTGAATTGTTTGAGTAACCTACACACTATACCAGTAATGAATAATATGAATGTTGGAAGATACATTGATAAGGTTTTTGATCATTATGCAAGTTTGTTAATGGTAAGGGTGCATGGTGGTAAGGGTGCAACCGATAATAACTTCCTCCTTATGAATGATAATGCTTGACCCTATTGCACTACATTAAAGATTGGTTATATTGAGGAAAAAAGAATCCAGAGGATGGAGTGGCCTTCGTATGTTCCAGATTTAATTCTAATAGAATGTGTTGAATATAATAGAACACTGAATGCCTCTGTGAGATTTTCATCATGAGATGGGTTCTTGACGTATTAATATGTACATGCCATGATGTGGGCATTTCTGTAAATCATGGGTACCTTATGTAGGACATTATTTTACTTATAATATGAACAAATAATATAATGCAAACAAGCAGATATAATTCATATAAAGCTAATAACATAATGTTTCTTTTTCCTTGCCGCATGACATACACAAGCCTTCTTCGTGGCAGCTCCTTCTTGTCTATTCTGACTTGGTGTCGTGTGGCAGTGAGGCAGGCATACGTGCCAGTTACATTGGTGTGCAAAAATTAAGGACGACGATTTTTTCAATATAACTTTGTACAAAAGCTTTCCAAATCAACACATTTAATACCGTAAGATCCCCAATACGTAAGGACATGAGTAATGCAAGCAACACTTACTAAAAGAGAAATCAGAGGGATAAAAAGAAGCTTTATTTTATTGAAAAAGTAGCATGGAGCGCAATGCGACTGAAGGCCGAAACATCCCTGTGATGGGTGTCCAGCAAGAAACATCCGGTCTTTAATAGGGGATATGATCTCCCCTGACTGCTAGGCAGGTTTCACAGCGTCTGCCCATGCTGAGAATGAGGGTGTCAATGAGTTGTTGAGGCATTGCTGCCCATTCGTCTTGCAGCGCCAATCGAAGCTCCGGAATCGTTACTGGTGGTAAGGTACGAGCTGCCAAGCGTCTGCCTAGAAAATCCCATACATGCTCGATGGGATTGAGATCCGGAGATCGTGCCGGCCAATCCATACGTTCAATATCCTCACTCTCTAAGAGCTGTTCGGCAGCTACTGTGCGATGACATGGTGCATTGTCGTCCATGAAAAGGAACTGCGGACCCATAGCGCCTCTAAAAAGACGCACATATGGAAGAAAAATCTCGTTACAATAACGGGTCCCGTTGACTGAACCTGCGTCGAAGATGTGAAGGTCTGTACGACTACCAAGCATGATGCCTCCCCAAACGAGAACACCGCCACCTCCATACCTGTCCCTTTCAATGATGTTCGAGGGATGATTGCGGCTTCCAGACTGAATCTGCTCTCATCTGTAAAGAGTACTCGTCCCCATTCATTGTCTCTCCAATTCCGGTGTTCCCGGCACCACAGAGAACGCCTTCTCCGATGGGCAGGCGTTAGAGGTACACACCGTACAGGGCGTCGTGCAAACAGACCACCACCGTGCAGTCTTCTGGCCACGGTAAAACGCGATATCGGTCGTCCAGTCGCCTGTGTCGTGTGTCTAGCGATTTCTCCCGCTGTCTGCCGCCTGTTTCTTCTGGCCTGTAAGGCAATATACCGGTCATCTGCGGGTGTGGTTCCTCGTGGACGACCACTACTAAACCCCCGGATAGCTGTTCCTGTAGTTTGAAATTGTCTCCAAAGTCGTGAAACGATGCTGTGAGCAATTCCGAACTCTGCAGCCACACTTGTCACACTGCGGCCTTCCTCCAACTTCCCAATGATTCGACCTCGGGTAAAAGCATCCAGATGTCGTCTAACAGATTGATTATTCGCCATTTCTCGCTGAGCCATGTGATTTTAATTGATTTGATTGGTGTGATTTTAACTGCTATACGGCGTGCAATCTCTTTGCCAGAAATACTGATCTTACACCGACAACATGCTTTATACTACTCAGACACTCCCCCATTACGTCTACCTGCATATCTGCGCATGTGCTACCGTACATCCCCTTACTTAATCTCCTGATTGGTCTTTCTGTCCGCTGTGCCTCTGGCCGTTCAGCTGATATGCTAATTATTCGACTTCGTCCTTAATTTTTGCACACTGTGTAAGTTAAAGTGCACATGCTTGGTGTTCACGGGCTCATGACAGCATCATTGCAGCTCCTAGCAGTCTCCAGGAGTTTCAAGATTCTATTCATCAGGAATATACCTTGTTATGATAGAAACTAATACACAGCATAGAAAATTGCTGAAAAGTTTTCATTTCAGTCAAGGGTGACCATACACTTTATTATGTTTTCTGCATATCTGTAAAAAATTTTAACACCAACTTTTCCCTACCTCACTTTATATCACATTTCCTGCATTCTTTTATAAATTTATCTATTTATTTTGCAGAAATAAGGTATTCTACATTTTGAAGGTATATCAGGCATGACAAAATTAAGATACTGTATATGTTCCATATTCTCAGTTGCAAAGTCATTCAAGTTATGTGCATTTTACAGATTTTTGTTTTTTCCATTTTTCATGGCCATTTCAAAAATTTTTAGTACTATCTCATTATCCTCCTGATCTTGACAAGAATCACTGGGCAAAGCACTATGTTGCCGAAGTAGGCAACCGAGAATTTTATGAAAATAACCCACTAGCAGTTGTGTGCACATTACATATGTATCTTGGTGGTGGTGGTAATGTGCCTGGTTTTGAAATTCGAGGATCATGTTTGTCGTTTATATTTGTTGTAATGAATGTGTGGTTTTTTTTTTCCTTCTTGCAATGAATCGTAATGCAACTGTGGAGTTTGCACACTAATAAAAAAAGTAAATGTTGCATTTTTTCAGAAATATTTTGCTCTATAAAGTATTAGGCTGTAAATAGGTGGTGTAAACAGTGTATTTTAGAAGTTTTTCTGAAATATGACATTTTGGCTAGAAGTATGGTGTTTTTCCTAATAGGAGGCATTCCTACACTCTTACTTCTAAGAGAGTAGGAATACACATTTCACAAAGTTAATATGCAATGCTCTTTTATGTTTTAAGTTAAAACAGGTCACTGTATAAATAAATGTAACGGTTTGCTGTTAAATGCTTAGAATTCTGCAATTCTGTGAATTTTCTTTTTTGGTGCTAATTGAGAGAAGAGCAAGAAAAAACAAGGTTAAGTGTTTTATTGTGGATATCTGTGATGTTTTTAATGCAGGTTATAGCATATTTATGCAGTTTTTAGTGTTTCATTATGGACGTTTCATGCATTTTTAAATATCATTAATTCATTGCTATTGTATGTAATTTTCAGTGCACTGCGAGTTTTGAAGTGGCTGTTGTTTTCACATGTTAAGGTTCACGAAAATTTAGTTGTCAACAGTTGATGTCTTTGTTGGAGGGTTGGGCGGATAATGCAAGAGTACCAAATTTTCCATTCATAATTGGTATCAGATCCTTCAGAAAGACAGCATTCCTGAGTAGCTACAATTAAGTTATAATTAAAGATTCTTTTATAAAATGTTTACCTTTAAATAACAGACAACCTTATTGTAGTTATAATTTTAGATTTCAAATGATTAATTTATTACATAGAAATAAAAAGTTGCTGTGAAATTTAACCAAGAAGAATTTCATGTTCAAAGGGTTAGCTGCCAAAATTTTGATACTTCTGAAAATCCTATTATGTATAATTCTTTTTTTTTGTTCTCCCTTAGGTATTAAAGACAAAGAAAAAGTAACAGAGGAGGATATAAATGAAGAAAAATCTAGTAATTTGAATCTCTCAAATTTAAGTTTGAAAAATAACACAGGAAGTAATATCGATTCTCCTATTGTTATAAAAGATGAAAGTGAAACAGAGGATGAGGATGCTATTCAAGACTATATGGCTGACACAGATGTTGAAACAAATTCTGGTGGTGATACAGAAGATGAAATTCGCAAGTAAAGATTTATTTATATCTCTTCTATTCTTTCTGAATTAACACACTAAAAACATTGACAAATATGCATTTAAGTTAGTGATGCTAAGCTGTAACTCCTGTTGATATTTTAGAATTTCTATTTTACTTTGTTTTTCTCTAGAACCTATTTATGTTACAGAATGGGAATCTTTTTGCTATTAATGAAACATCTAGAGCTACTTAAGTTCTACACATTAGAGCTAGATGTACACCAGGCAATGCCTGTGTAAGGCTCATAAAAGCTGGAAGTAATTTTATTCCCTACAGCAGGGTTTCTTAAACTTTTTTTCAGTTGCGACGCTCTTTTTATCACCGAGATTTTTTTCGCGACCCCCAGGACCCCATAGTATTTACAAAAAAATTTGTGGGCCTATATAAGTATTGCGTAAATCCGACACACTGTCAATTTTTTCACTTGTACTGTAATATACTATTGCAATTTTAGGTCATTAACTTTAATTTCTAATTTTAAGACATACAACAATGTGAAAATTTTAAATAAGTAACAGATGAAATGACAGCATCATGTGCAAAGCAAGGAAAATGAATGTTTATATTATAAAAAGAATGCTTCGAAACGTTTTCGTTATTTTCTTTGTCTGTATTGTCTTATCTTTATCTATTTTCAGATACATTGTGTAAAAATATTTGGTAATTGTAAAATTATTATATAATAAGTTAAAGAAATATCAAAACTACTCAAATTTTTGGTGACCCCCTGCTGCAGGTCCTGCAACCCCATTTTAAGAAACCCTGCCCTACAGAATGTTTGCACTTTTCAGTCAGTTAGAGGTGTAGCTAGGGTTTTCAGTGCCCGGGGATGACTTAAGAATTTCCATCCCTTTCTGTGTGCCAAGAATGAAAAACATTTCATTTTGAAATTTTGTAACATGAATTTTGCACCACCTGGATGCTGCGACCGGGACAGATGTCCCACCTTGTCCCACCCTAGCTGTGCCACTGCAGTCAGTTTTATTGAGCTTCTGTTCATGTCTGGAGATCAGTTAGCATTCCAGAAACTTGCAGAAGCTAAGCTAAACACTTTTTTACATAGTATTACTTTAGAAATTTGGTATGCAGGGTTGAAGGGTGCTAATCTTCTGCTGATGCAGAGATTAGGACAAGCATTAAGCAGGTTTTGATCTAGGACCAAGCATTAAGCAGGTTTCAAAGTGGTAGTACAAAGTAACTTGAATATTTTCATTGATTAATGGAAACATTTATCACAGAGTGATCATTCCTAAGAACTTTAAAGGGTTGAATCAAGTAAAAATTTGTTTTCATAAACTAAAACTTTAATGGAGGCATAAACACATAATGTAAACATAGGACAACGTCATTGAATGTTTAATTAAAGTTTTAGTCATTAAACATTTAAAATTATTTACGGTTATTAGAAGTAGATTTCCCTGTTGTTGGAAGTACTTAAAACAGTTTATAAATGAACTACAAACCACCCCTTTTTAATATTATTATGTAACAGAATTTCTTTTATTTGACTGTTTTTTTGACTACTTGATTTTTATTAGTGTATATTATATATATTGTGTATATTATATATATATTGTGTGTGTGCACATTTTCAGTGTATTCTTTTTAAAAATAATTTTATAATTTTAATAGCTGTTGAACTAAGTACTTAAATTTTCACATAGTAAGGTATGTAAACTTGTGCAAAGAGATAGATAATATGCATTCATAATCAAAATAATGTTTATTTTATTTACTAGACACTTACACAGCTAGCAAATGGAAATTTAAGCAGCTAAATTGGCTAGTTGCCTGAAATAGTTACTATGCAATATATATACTGTGTATGTATGTAATGATTTTAATGAGTTCAGCTGGTGTAATTTCATTAAAATATTAATGTTTTTAATTATACACACACACATATACATATATATATCATGAAATGAATTCTTTTTTTATTTAAATTCATCAAGTGAAAAAAAAAAAAAAAAAAAAAAAAAAAAAAATTGCATTTATTGTTTAGTTTGTTAATCAATAACAGGCAGACTTAATTTGGAAGTTAAAATCATACATTTACTAAATGGCAAAGCACTGTTGTGTGAAAAATAAAAATATTTTATTTGTGACAGTGGCAGCACATTTCTCTGAAATAGATAAGTTTGTGAATTAAATATGAAATTTACATCTCTGCCAAATGCCAACACATATCTTTTAAACTGTTTAATTATGACGAAGATAAAAGTGTTTTATTTTTAGCATTGACAACATCAATAAAGGCATTAGTAACAAAGCTACAATAACAGTCGCCCAAAAGGCCAAGATTAATATGGTCCATTTTTTACCTTCCTTTTAAAATATGATATCATTTGAAACTTCCAAACATTTTTGTTAGTGGTGGAGGTGAAATTTGTTGTGGATCTCAAATGGAATTTCAGATGTTACAGTATTTTAAGTTACAGGTTAGCAAAGGGTTTGACTTTTTAAGGGTTAAAAGATATTTAGAACTATTTGTTGAAACTGCATTCAGTGATTTTTAGCATTAATCAAACTTATCTGTATGCCTTTTGTAAGTATTGCCTAAGGAGGTGGCAGTTCGTTCTCAACACTCTATAAATTTGCTTTGAACCAGAAATGCTCCCTTAGATCTCTCCATGTTCACCAGGCGGCTGAGATCCCACTACTATTTTTCCACAATGCAAGGAATGTGCATCCAGATTTTTTATTATTTAATATAGATATTATCTGAATGTTTTGTGTGCTGAAGCCTCTAGAAGTAATATGTTTTTTGTTTGTATTTTAAATAACTAATATATATTATTAGTATCTATTTATTATACAATACATACAGGGAAGAATGTGCAGAAAATGCAAATCACCTTCCAAAAATGTGTATTAGTAGTAGCAGCAAAATTAAGGGCTTGATATGCAAAGATAAAGTTATTAAAAAGAAATAAACAAAAATTAAAAAGTTAAAAATTTTGGTAAAGTAGGAAACTGAAATATACAATTTGTAAAAAATATATGATGAAAAATATACTATTTGAATATGGAAATATGCCTCCTGTAGCATGATGATTATAAAAGAAACATAAACATCCATTTTAGAAAAGTATCATATTTTAAGTTATTAAATTAATTTTTGTCTTTAATTTGTACACAATTAAATCCAAATTTAGGAAAACAATTTCTCTAGTTTTCCTTTCTTATTATTTGAAAGATTCATTGAAAAAAAAAATATAAGTGAATTAAAAAGGCATGATAAATAAATCTTTATTGTGAAGTAAAGAGATAAAATGAAATTTTCATCATTTGAGTTGTTTTCAAAACTAATACTTATGTCAATTAAAAATATCATGTATTTAATTTGTTTAATTTTACATTAGGGTGGAAGCAAAAGCTGTGAAAAAAGATAAACTTTCCCACATCAAGGTGGATAGTAATGAGACTGATGATGTAGATTCATCTATTCTGTATTCTAAACCTGATACTAAAGATTTACCTCTGCCTGAATTACCAAATTTATTCAAAAGCAGACATTTCTACCTATTTGGAGATTTTAAATTTCAAATGGAACATGATTTGAAGAGATACATAACTGCTTATAATGGGTAAGTCTTTAAAACAAAATCTTCTGTATTAAAACTTTTTTTTCCAGTAGATCAAAATTGTATTGGATTGAATATTTTAGAATACTAGAAATTGATTCGAAAAACAAATTTTATAAAAACATAATAGTATAAAACCTTGTGGAAGCATTAAAGTTATATGTTGAATTGAATTTCAGAAAATTTGAAATGAAACTGTTATTAAGAAGTTTCCAAATGATAAATATTTGGGTCACTGACATTTTATTTTTATAATTTGGAGATGTGTGAACATCTTGATGAGTTTCATGAACATGATTGTTTATTGTAGTTTGGTAGAATTTTGTGCATGTTTGCATTTATTTGTCTATGTATTGCATGGAGTCTGCATTTTTCTGGGAAGAGCATTTAGCCAGAATTGGTAATGGGTAATAGTTGTGAGAAAAGCAGGCTTTATAATTTTATATTTGTCAATAGGATTTTTATTAACTGCATGTATTTTAATATGAAATTATATAAAATGTATTTAGCATAAACAGCAGTCTTGGGAGGCAGTGATTCAATTCAGTTTATCTCTTTATATTTACTTGATCAATATGATATACAGTACAAAGACCAAGATCTGGACTTGGGATTTCAGAGATTCCAGGTTTGGGGTGATTTATGTGGATATTAGTTCATCAGTTTAGTAAGATGACATGTAGAAATTGTTAAAATTGAAAATATGGGGTTAAAGGTATTTGATTATGACAAAGCATTCTAGGGCTATCTGGACCTAAATAGGGAACCTTTCTAAGGGAAACTGGCTCCTATATACATTACATATGGGGGAAAATCATGAAAATGCCCATGCAGGCCAGCCTGCTTGGCAGGATTCAAACTCTGGGCCAAATTACCAGTGTTCAGTGACTTTACGGCTCGGCTGCTGGTGGGCAAATTAAAAATATGAAATAGTGGTTTATGAAATAATGGAGCATTTCTGACTTAAAGGAAATAATAATAATAATAAAAAAACTCTTGCTTTTTAAAATATTTTTCTCAATATCTTTCATTAACTTCTTCTATATCTTTCTTTCATTTTTATTCTATAGCTAGATGTAATTTCTTGTTTAGCTACAAAGTTCCATTGTTCAAGTCCTATAATTGCCATGTCGAAAAATCCCACTAAATTGTCAGACGGGATTGTTTTGTTCTCGGCAACCTGTCTCTTTCCTCAGAATCATTGTGATATTTTCTGACTTTAGAATCATATTATAGATTTTGCTGTCTGTTAGTTGATTGTGATATTGTCTTTGCAATGGAAAAACATCTTTGATTGAAAGCTTCATCACAATGGAAAATCTTTATTACCACTTCTTTTCCATTAACTGGAAAATTTAGCCATTTTGTTTATGATGTTAGAAAACTTTCATATTTGAAGCTGTCATCATAAAGCTTGATTAGTATCTTCTGTACACTATTAGTGATTCATCATGAGATTGGCGACTAAATACATGTTTTTCTGCTAAATTTTGTCTTCCTTCTATCACATACTAACAAAGTTAAACCTGAGTTGTATTACCGTATTTGACGGCATATAAGACGCACTTTTTTTCCTAAATTTGGTCTCAGAAAAGTTACCTGTGTCTTATATGTGAAGGACGAAGATTAACTTTCAATACTGAATGCTATTTTTAGCCCGGATAAAGATCTAGACACGCATAACTTTTTCTACATCTACATGTGTGTGACCTTCTAAATAAGGATGCGTCTTATATGCCGTCAAATACGGTAGTTTAGTTATTTATTAAGCATACACCTATTTCCTGCACACTCTTATCTAATTCATGAATAAATAAATTCCCGTATATACTGAAAGCTTTTTGAGAGCTGGCACTAGACATTTTATGGCCTGGTTCTGTCTCTGCAGGGCTTAAATTCTGCTGCCAAGTGCCTCCCTAAATTCTAAAAAAATTGCATCAAAGCTCCATTTCTAAAAAAAATTGCATCAAAGCTCATTTAATAAACTTAGTTAAAAGTCTTTTTTTATACTTAAATTAGCTATTGTGAGCAGTGCTGTTACAAGCTTTTTCAACTTTAAAATGGATATTTTGTGCTATTTTCACATTATTTAAAACATGTTTTAGTACTAACTATTACTACTAGCATAGCTTGGGAACTATCTGTTTCTTTTCATATTTAATGCAAAACATGAATTCTGTTTGTTTGATCACTAGATTTGATAATTTGTACGATATGGAATATTTGTATTTTTATTATTAATTTTGTAGTACAGTTATGTAGGAATCCTTTCTCCATAGTGAATGCAAAATGATCTTTCAGGTAATACTGAAGCTTCTCGTACCAAAATTTATATAATTCATCAGAAAGTTACATTAAAGTGTCTTTTCAAATTACAAAACATTGTTTAATAATATCAGAACCTTTTGGGAAAGATGATGTTCACTGAAACAAAAAGCATTTAAGAACAAGTTTTTGTGTAATGTTTTTGATAATTTTGCTATATTCCTGTTTATAAATATTTGTTACTTTTCATAGCCCTAAAAATGTTTTACTGTACATATGCTTTTTCTGTAGCGTGATTGAAGATTATATGAGTGATACAATCAAGTATGTGATTACGGAATCTAAGTGGGACAAGAATTTTGAAGAAGTAGGTTTTTAATATTAGTAATTTCATTTTTTTGTAAGTTTACTTACACTGATCAAAATAATTAGGAAATCAAATAAGTCATGGAGTTGAAATTGTTTAAATTATAATATATACTTTCTATAAAAATATATGGAATGTTTGATGGCATTGTTTAGGAAACAAATTTGTATTAGTCTCCTTTTATTTATGCAGTATTATCATTTATTGCTGCAGTGTGCTGTGCAACAATATAAATATTTGTGTGTATATGAAACATAAAAATCCTTTTCTTTGTGATCTTCAGTATCACATAAAAAATAAATTCTAGAGAAATATATCTGATAATTTGCTTTATTATCCTGAAGACATTGCAGTTGTTAGTTCTGGCAATTGAACATGATTGTTTAATTTTACATCTGAACAAAATTAGAATTTTTCATAGCCCAGAGTGATAGCTCTGCAATTCTTCTTCCATGACTGATAGTCACTTCCTTCTTTCTTTTTTACCGTACCAAACAAAGATCCTTGTCCAAATGTTATTAGAGAAGTTTGAGATCAAATAAGACTTTCTGTGTAGGATTCTAAATTTTTTTTTTGTCTTACTTCTTTTTCTACTTCTATATTTTACATGTATTTTTATCACTTAAATATATATTTTCAAAGATGTTTAGTGCTTTGGAAATTAATAAGGAAAGGAGGCTATTAGAGTTAAATCTAACAAGACTGGTGGTCATCTCAGATGGGTAAGAATGTTGTATGTACACGTTGGCATGAAATCATCAGAATTATTGTGATTTTGAGGCATACCCAGCAAAGTTAGTCTTAAGTTTGTGAAAAATCTGTGATTTTTAGCATTTCTGTATTACATTTATCAAGAATCTCAGGTATATTGAATTAGTAAAAAATATTGGCCATGGTACTCTTTTTTTTTTTTTTTGTTGAATTAATACTACTAGCTGAGCTTCATAAGCCGAAAAGGTGGAGGGACTGATAGTTACAGCATATGTCGTAGCAATAGCTTTGAGAATTTTGTCATTATACTTATGGTTGTCAAACTATCACTTCAAGTGACGCTCAAGTCTGTATGTTGAGGTACACTCATTCTTGCTGAGTTCACATGCCCATTTCTGATATAATATGACATTGTCTGTGTATAAAGCTCTGTTATTGTGCATTTTATTTGATTTCAAAATGAGAACTCAGATTCTACTATTCCATACTAAATCTTGATTCCTTAAAGAAGAAAATTTGAAGCTATTCAAAATCCTCATCCACAGTATAGTTCTGTAGGTTGTATAATACTTTGCTGTTAGAGGATTGATCTACATGTGGAAAGAACTGATGAAGCCTGATGTAACAGCCACTGTTAATAAAAGCAAATGGTAATTTCTTGTTGATCTTACCTTTTTATTGTGCCTTCTACGAGTTCAAATGTTCTCAAATTGATTATATTGCAGTGAAAATGATTCCTTTCAACCAAGGACAACATGGATCGGTGAGGATTTGGAAACGAAAGGTCCAGGGTATGAAACCTATCAAAGGCAAGTTGCTTAAAATTTGGTTTTTGTTTAAATTTCCTTCCTATTAATTTGTTCATTTTCATCAAGTGTATATAAATGATTACTCAAACTTACAGATTGAATGAATATTAAAGTTTTGAGTTCAGAATTAAGTACTTGTCTCTTGCAGGATTTGAAAAGATTGAGATGGTTGATGGGATGAAACCCAAGCTGACCCAGCAGGAGCTAACTTCATTCTGAGTAACATTGCAGCAATACCGATCCTGCATTCCAGCTACCCAGAAGCCAATGACATCAACGACGGATGCAAGGACTTCAGTTGAATCGCTACCCCTAACTGATGGGATGATCAAGTAAGTCTGGCCAATGTAATTTTTTCCCTCGCCGGAACCACTCAACAGTGGTCGATAATAATGAAGACACATCTGCTAGTTGGACTATTTTCGGAAATGCTCTCAAAAACACATTTCACAGTGCATCTGATTTAAAGCGCTAAGCTGAAAAACTACTACTCGCATGTGGCCGGCAAATTGTTGAGACGTCTGTATCATCTGATTCAAGATGTACTTGCTGTGTGTCGAAAAGCAAACCCCTTCAAGCTTGAAGACAAAATGGCCCATCTCACAAAAGGCATTATCGAGGCCTGTCGTCTCAGGACTATGGCAGCGCTGATGTCTTCATGAAATGTTGACATCACATAGAGAGCCTTTGGAAAAGATGCATCACCTTACCATGATTCTAAAGGCAACCTAATGTTTCCATGGTGTTGGCCAGTGTGGCTATATACTTGATCTGCTGACGTCAGTGACTTAAAGTCTGTGGTGTGCACCATCATCAGGGAGGAGCTTCAGAAGGTCCTGCTGCAAGTTCAGCTACACAAATGAACCTGAGCCAATGAATGACACAGCATCTGTGGTCTTGGAGGAGGTTACGGAGGCTCCAGCACCGTTCACAGGAGCATGAAGAAGCAAAAGCACTACCCAACATTCTATTCCAGTTAGGCTGCAGCCAAGGAGCTTTACAAGCTTCACAACATAGGACAGAGATGTGGACAATAATGTGACAATAATGTGCTCCTCTGTTAATATTGCAGATGTCCGGGACATGTTTTGAGGTACCAAATGTCTGAAAATGCAAGAGCTGCTAGGACATCCAACACTCAAACGGATAGGGACACTGACTCTCTATACAGCTTCCATGACGAATATGCAGAGCCTATATCTTCTTGAATAAGCAGTTCACCTTAGCCATGATTCTGTCTCACTGCTGACAGTAGCAATCACCAGTACGCCTTTCCAGCCATCGTCCACAGTGAACTAGCTCAGACGATCTGTGCAGGAGGTGAGGCCACAATTGATGAAAATCCTCCGACATACACGACAGTCAAGTTAGAATACCATCTTTATCACTATGAACAGACAGTGTGTTCTTGTTGATTTCAGATATTGATTATTCCGTCATATCCGAAGAAGTACGGGGACAATTTAATGCTCCTGTGTTTCCTGAAAATGGACCTATACCGAAAACTGTCTGTAGTAAACGTGTAGCTGCATCAGGACACTATGTATTAGAAATTGATTTGAATGGGACTGTTCCTGATTTCCACAACCGGTAACAGCATCAGTAGCACGGAAAAAGTTTCATCCAAGTAGTATTTGATGGCTACATTGTAGAAACACAAGGAATTCAAACACCCTCCTAGTTCCACTTAAATCAACTTTTAATACACAGAGTCCCGAGGTGGCTGCAGTTTTCAGTATAAGTTCATTCTCAATAAACAGAGGAGCATTCAATTTTCCACGTATTTCTTCGGATATGACAGAATAATCGATACCTGGTTCAACAAGAGCTTATTACACACTGTCTGTTTACAGTGATAAAGGTGGTATTCTAACTTGGTTGTCGTGTATGTCGGAGGATTTTCATCAGTTGTGGCCTCACCTCCTGTACAGGTCGCCTGAGCTAGTTTTTCTCATTGGTTCAGCATGAGGAATGATTGGAACGGCGTACTGGTGATTGCAACTGTCGGCAGTTGAAACAGCATCGTGGCTAAGGTGAACTGCTCCTTATTCAGGAAGATATATGGTATGTATACTCGTCATTGAAGCTGTATAGAGAGTCAGTGTCCCTGTCCGGTCGAGTGTTGGATGTCCTAGTGGCTTTTGCATTTTCAAACATTTGGCATCTCTTACTTTGGTACTTTACAACATGTTCTGGGCATCTGTTATGTTAACAGAGGGACACATTATCGTCAGTCCTCCACAAATCTGTTCTACGTTTTGGCTGTGTCTAACTGGAACAGAATGCAAGCTAATGTTTGTGAGTGGTTCTAGAGCCTCCACAACCTCCTTCTGAACCACAGATGCTATGTCTTTCATGATGAGAGCGTTCACCATAGATCTTAGGGCACCAACGTCTGCAGTAGCTTGACACCATGGAGACATGTGCATGGTAGGGCGATGCATCTTCATTGAAGGTTCTCTCTCTGATGGCAGCATTTCTTGAAGGCATTGATTGATGCTGTTATAGGTTTGTTTTTTGACACACAGCAAGTACACCGACGTCTCATCAACTGCATACATGTAAGTAGTCTTTCAGCTTCGTGCTTTTACATCAGCCAAATGTGTTTTTGAGAGCACTTCTGAAAACATTCCAACTAGTAAACCAAATCGCTGTTGAACATGTTCCGGCGAGTTAAAAAACAATGTTTGCCAGACACATTTGATCATCCCAGTAGTTATAGGTGGCGATTCAATTGAAGTCCTTGCATCATCTGTTGGTAGGATTGGTATTAGTGCGATGATACTCGAAGCTGAGCTAGCTTCTGCTCGGTTTCTTCCCATCCAATAAGTCGAATGGAATGAGTAACCATTTATATACATTTGATATCCTAGAAAGTGGATAAAAGGAAATTTACATGAAAACCAGCTTTTAGGAAGGGTTTCAGCACAACGTCTCTGCCCGTGTTTTATTTAATCTTTTAGTTAAACCATCTGTGGGAGAATGCAGTCGTCAGAAGATGAGACGTCTGGCATGTTTGAATGATTTCTTTAACAGCAGTGGATAAGAAGTTGTGTCCTTGGTCATTTATCATCTCTTTGGAGCACCCTGTTTCAGTATAATATCTTCAACTATAAATTTGGCAATTTCAATGCCCTCACCAGTTTACGTCTGCTAAGGTAGTCAGCAAACTCTACTCCACCAGGTCTCATTTTGAGTAATAGGAAAGCGTCCAAGTAGATCTATTCCAGTTTGGGATTTTATTGAATGAAGCAGTCTTGGTGGAAGTTGCAGTGGTGATTGGCATTCTCAACAGTGTGATGCATACCGTTGTGTGCTTCCACCTAACCTCCTCCTTATTCGGTTGTGCGTCTTGGAAAATCCGAGATGACCGGCAGTTGGAGCATCATGAAAACATCTTAGAACATCGATACAAAGTTGTCATGGTGCTACCAATAGCTATTGCTGTCCCATAGGATCATACCTTTTTTTGTACAGTTTATCATTTCTTATTTGATAGGGAGTCATTACAACTCTCGGTTGAGTGATGGACTATAATTGTTTATCCTTCTGGGGCTCTTTTCCGTAATTTGCGATGACTGCGAGGAAAGAAATGTCATTGCTCTCAATTATTGGTTCGACAAAGGGCTTCCTTGATAGTGAATCCACGTCGGAGCATTTACGACTGCTGTTGTATACGATATGTATGTTGTACTCCTCCAACCTAAGAGCCGATCATGCAAGTCTTCGAGAGCGATTCTTAACATTGGCCAGAGAGTAGCGATCTGCGACTACCGCAAAGGGCTTTCCATAGAGATCCTGAATTTACTGATTGCCCAGATGACGGGAAGGCATTCCTTTTCGGTTATAGAATGATTCTTTTCAGCTGCAGTAAGGTTCCTGGAAGCATAGGCTATTGGCCTTTCTGTGCCATCTTGGATCTTAATCAGTACACCACTGATGCCATGGGTACTAGTGTCGGACTGTATCTTCGTTTCTGCATCTGGAATAAAATGTCCCAAAATGGCATCACTGGTCAGTAACTTTGATCATTGCAAAGATTCCCTTCGCAATATGTTCCAAAAAATTTTGTATCTTCCTCCAATGCAAAATTTGCAAGATTTGAAAACGATGCAAAATTTTCTTGGAATGTGTTGTAGAGAGAATCTTTTGCCAGGTTAAAAAAGTTACTGACCAGTGGCACTGTTTTGGGACATTTTATTCCTGACAGAGAAACGAGGATACATTTTCATGCTATCTGGATCTATCTGGAAGACATGCATGATGGGCTGTCAAGTTCCATTAGTACAACATAAATATTCTATACAAGAGCGGTTGCGGACACTTTGATGGGGATTCAGTATCAAGGAAGCCCCTTGTCGAACCAATAATTGAGAGCAATGAGCCCTTTCCTGGCAGCAATCGCAAATTACGGTAAAGAGTAGCAGAGGGATGAACAATTGAAGTCCATCATTGCAACTCTCAAGAGATGTCATGCATACCAAATAAGAAATGGTATACTGTGTAAAAGAAGCTATCCTGTGGGATAGCAATGACTCTTGGTAGTACCAAAACATCTTCGCAGCGATGTTCTTAGAAGTCTTCATGATGCTTCAACTGCCGGTCATCTCGTTTTGTCAAAACGTACGACCGAATAAGAAGGAAGTACTACCGTCCAGGGGAGCACACAACGGTATGTATCACACTGTTGAGAATGTTAAAGACGGAAATCATCACCCCAACTTCTACCAGGGCAACTTTATCCAATAAAATCCCCTTACCATTTACCAAAATTGGATTAGATCTAGTTGGATGCTTCCTATTACTTGAAATGGGAACTGAATGGAGTATAATTTGCACAGATTACCATACCACATTTTCTGTCACAAAAACAGTACTAACTGCTGCAGGCACCGAAATTGCGTAGTTGAAGAAATTGTATTACACGCACGGTGCCCCAAAGAGATAAAGGATTGAGGACACAATTTCTTATCCACTATTTTTAAAGAAATCATTAAATC